TTGTAATCAGCTTGTCTTCTGCCACTGAACAGGGCCTGAGGGAAGCATCAAGAGGGAGAAAAAGTGGCTTTGCTACTCATCTTTAAACATTCCTGCTTGCGTTTATTTAATCCGTTACTTTCTGGCTGCCTCTATGAAAGTTCTTTTCCTATTTAAAGCTATTTTTGATTTTACTGAGATGGGGAAGGGGAGGAAAGAAGAGGGAAAGAATTAGAAAACTGTTGAAAAACAGTCCTCCCTAGACCTTACAATTAATTTTAGTGAGAGCTTTGCAGCACTGAATACAGCTTTAAAGTCAGTGAAATGACTTTGAATGTCTATGCTCGCTAAAGAGGTTGCTGGGTAGCACAAATGGTTTGTGCTCCACTACTAACTGAAAGGTTGGTGGTTTGAACCCACCCAGTGGCACCATGGAAGAAAGTCCTGATGAGCTGATTCGGTAACGATTCCAGCCAAGAAAATCCTATGGAGTAGTTCTACTCTGTAACACATGGGGTCACCATGAGTCTGAATCAACTAGATGGCAACTGGCTTTTGCTCTCTAAAGGAGAATTTTATAAGAAATTATTTCAAACTCTTGGGGATAATTTTTTAAACAAGCTTGGTCGGTTCAAATTGTCTTCCAGAGTTCTTCTAATTGCTAAGAGAACATTATTGTTAATTAGATGTTCAAGATTTATTATAGCTAGCGTCTTAGTTATCTAGTGCTGCTGTAATAGAAATACCACAAGTGGATGGCTTTAACAAAGAGAAATTTATTCTTTCACAGTCTAGGAGGCTAGAAGTCCAAATTCAGGGTGCCAGCTCTAGGGGAAGGCTTTCTCTCTCCATCAGTTCTGAGGGAAGTTCCTTGTCATCAGTCTTTCTCTGGTCTAGGAGCTTCTCAGTGCAGGGACCCCGGATCCAAAGGACACGCTATTCTCCTGGCTCTTGTTTGTTGGTGGTATGAAGTCCCCCTGTCTCTCTGCTCGCTTCTTTTATATCTCAAAAGAGATTAACTCAGATACAACCTAATCTTGTAGATTTTGAGTCCTGCCTCATTAACATAACTGCCACTAACCCCACCTCATTAACATCATGATGTAGGATTTACAATACATAGGAAAATCACATCAGATGACAAAATGGTGGACAGTCACACAATACTGGGAATCGTGGCCTAGCCAAGTTGATAGATATTTTTCGGGGGCACAGTTCAATCCATGACAGCTAGTATGCATTTTTTTGGGGTAACATTTGGATATACCTGTAATTTCAAACTTACAGAAAAGTTGCAAGCGTAGTACAAGGGAGAGTTGATTTCAAGACAAAGTGGTAAGAGTAGTGATAGTGGTAAGCAGTGGGTGCCTTGGAGGAACGTGGAAGAGGGCCACATAACACAAATGAGGGAGTCATGAAAGGCTTCCCTGAAGAGATGGGCTTCTGCTTCTTTGCTTTTAGGTGAAACTCCTACATCATGATTCAGAGCATGGCAATTTGGGCACTAAAACAAACTAGTAGTGACTTAAACTTAAGGCAAGAAATGCTTTTTAACTGGACAGTTGCAGATCTCCGATTATCCATTGTAGAACCTTTATTAGAGAAAGTTCACTGACCATCCCTAAAGTGTTTGTTGAGAAGCTGTGTGAATCCATATGACCTTTAACATTTTTTAAAAAAGAAATAATGTCTTGTCATAGTAAAATATTTTTTAAGTGCAAAAAGGTATACAACATATATTCAGTGAAAGGTCTTTCACCTGACCTGTATGTAATCTTTCCCTTTCTCAGGGACAACCAACTATTATTACCAGTTTCTGACATGTCCATTGGTGATAATCTGTACATATACATGTGTGTATTCTCCTTCTTGCTCTTCTTTTTTTCCTGCATGATAGCATACTGTTCTTAAAAAAATTTTTTTTCACTTGATAACATGTCTTGGAGATTGTTTCCTATCAATACATACAAATCTGCCTTATTCTTTACAGCGATCTGTATAGTATTCAGTTCTATGAATGTACACAGTTTATTTAACTAGTCCCCCACTAATATCTAGATTGTTTTCAGTTTTTTGGTACTAGAAATAATGCCGTGGGAAATATTGTTGTACACTTCCTCATGTGAGCATTTTTGTGGGATACTTTCTTAGAAGTGGAATTACTGAGTCAGAGGGTATGTACATTCTTGAAATTCTAGATAGAGAATGTAATTTGACTAACATTTTAATCTCGAAAAACAATCTTACAGCTTCTGGTAAGGAATGGGATAAAATAGTCATATTACACTGAACCATGCCTGTAATTTTCCTATTGTTGATTGCTATTTTTGATAGGAGTAAACATACTGGGTTTAAGAGAAGGTGTCACTTTATGATTGTGGGTGAGCTAAAACATCAAAGCAGTATTAACCATAATTATGAATGTATCACTGGGTTGATTCTGGTTGTTTTTGTCTCAACTCTGGATTTTTTCCTTAATGCAATGAAATAACTGAAAGAACCCATTGGTATGGTCCTGGAGAGCAAAACTGTCTTAATATTAACTTACTGCTTCCATATGAGTCGTAAATTTTCATGCAGACTCAAATACTGTGTAGCATACCAAACATAACTGGCCCTCTCTATTCCCTACCCTGGTTATGTTCTGTAGACACTGCAAGCAATGGAGCTTATGATTTGTTGACCAAAAGCTTTGATGAGAAAGTTGGAATCCAGAATCAATGTTTTCTCTTGGAATAATACGTTCTGGAGATTTCAGAGAGAACACCAGACTTGTACTTTATTGGCTCTGTATGTATTTGGTATAGGAATAATCACTTAGAATGCTAATAATAGTTACTAAATATTTTGCCATGAAATATTTCTGTCTAAAATTATTTAACTGTCACCTTTCCAGACTACCCATTCCAAACAAAACCAAACCTGTGGCTGTCTAGTCGATTCCGACTCATAGCAACCCTATAGGACAGAGTAGAACTGCCCCACAGGGTTTCCAAGGAGTGGCTAATGGATTCAAACTGCCAACCTTTTGATTAGCAGCTGAGCTGTTAACCACTGTGCCACCAGGACTCCTTCTAGATTACAGTCTTGGGGAAAAAAATACACTACTACCACAATTAATGTGCTTTTTAAGTATAATAACTTTTTAAAGTCGATTTTGGATGGAAATCTTCCTCAAATGTATTACACACTTCTGTGCCTTCTTAAACAGGGTATTAGCTATCATTACAAAAGTAGCCCAATTTAATCAGTTTTTGGTGATTCAGGACCATCATTGGAAACACGAGTTATTGTACTCTTAGCAATAATGGTCTCACAGCTGGTTGAAGTAGAGGAGCTCTTTGCCCTCATACCACATGGCCCAAGATTGATGTTAATTTTTTAGCTTTTCTGATTCCTTAGGGGCCAGGTTCCCTTTTTCCAGCAAGGGCCATAATCCCAAATCGGATTTGTGGTTTCTAATTTGTTGTAGGTTGGGTAACCTGATAACCTGGTTTATTAGAATTATATATAGGAAGTAAACAGGTTCTGGGTGGAATCAAGGGGATGTCCTGTGATTGGAACCCAAGTGCCTACTGCTACTCTGAGTGATAAGATATGTTAAATTTCGTTTAGGTGAGATGTTATTGAAACTGGCTGAAAGAGGGATTGGATCTGGTCAGTGTTCTTGGAGGCTGTTGGCTGGTGTTTAGCCATCTAGTGGCTGAAAACCTGACTGCAGGAACATGATAGTTGTCCATTATAACACTTGATATTGGTGACAATAGAGATAAAAGATTGTTTTCCAAATTATCGGATGGTGGTATGTTTTACACCTTATTGGATAGAGAAACTCTAAAACCATTTCAGGTCTGAATTCTGTAATTCTATAGGATAGGTATAGAATACATTGGTAGATAGGTTATGCAAAAAAGAAAGCAGAGTGCTGTTCAGATAGGAGCAACAAGGGAACAAGGACGGAAAAAGACTCAGCAGTAAAAGAGATGTGTAAGAGGAGGCTTCATGACTTTTTTCAGTTGGATAGTTATGATTCGGATTTAAGAAGATTTAACAAAAAATCAACCTATTGGCCGACTGGAGAATATAGATCTGTGGCCAAATGAGCTTGCTAATACTGTATTCCCTTCCTTCTTCCCCCCAAATACATGTACTCTACCCAGTCATAGGAAGCTGGACATCAGAGACCCCTTCCCTCCCAGCACCCCATAGACTGTCTGCTGCCGGGCAGAGAGGTGCTGGTTTCCTGTAGGCGTTGCTAGTCCTGCGAGAGCCCAGAAGGGGCAGGGCCAGGGATGAGTAGTTTCTTCCAGTTGTCTAAATGAGGGTTGGGGAACAAGGGCTGGAGCATTATTATAGCTGAAGTCTCTCCTCAACGAAACTTGTGCCTACTCAGTAGAGGCCCTCCACTACCAGTGTTCTGGTGTGCTGCTTTTCTTTTTTTTTTTTTCCCCAGAAGATTGAACCATAAGCTTAAATTGTTAGTTAGATGAAAGATTTATATCCCTGTCCTTAACAACTCTTAAAAATAGGAGAAAATCAGTTTGGTTTTGGATATTTGTAGTAAATGCATCCCTAATCCAGAGGCAAAGGCAGAGACTGGGTGATTGCCTAGCAGCCTTCCTGTGGATGCTTATTAAAAAGTATTTGCCTACCTCCCTGAATTACCTTTTGCTTCAATTTGATTTTGAAGTCTTGCCAGCAAAAATGTGATTAAGACCTTTCCGTATTTGTTAAATATCTCTTAATCATATTCTGACAACTACAGTTATTTTCAAGATTATCTAATTTGGTGGAAGAATTATTCTTTTCACATAATAAGGGTTCATTCATACAGAATAATAAACTGCTGGTTCTCATTTGTCATTGGTTGTTGCTTAATTCTTTCCCTCCCTTTTCTCCTTTCCAGAATCCTATTCTAAGGACACGGGCACTCCGGTATCCATCATGGTGTTGGGTGCTGAGCAGAAGATGCCAGATGGTAATTTACAGCTTTGTTATTGTCTAATTTTTATTTGAAATTAGGCTTAAGTTAGTAACAGGAATTTACCATGTTTTCCTTCTCATTGTCTATTCCAAGAAAAATTGTCCCCGTCTTCCCTCTGAAGTCACCATCTGGTGATTTAGGTGGTAAATGAAAATGGATTTATAACCACTGAAGCCTGCCTCATATTTTATTTCTAATTCTGAGACGAGGAGACAAGATTAACATTATCTGTAGCTGTGGTGCTTGCAAGGGCAGTATTATTCCGAGACGTTGGCTGCTCATGACAAACTGATGTTTCAGTTGTGTGTAGAGCATTAAACTACACAGGGAGCGCCTCATACTCTGTATTGTATTTGATTGGAGCTTCTTGAGTGCTTTGGCAAATCCTTCCTAATTTTAAACTTCTAACTTTCCTAATTCTTTCCAAGTTCTAAACTTTTGGAATTTCCATTCCTTTCCTATAATTTTCCTTATCACTTCAGGGCCACTTAAGATGATGTGGGCCAGCTCCTTATAGACAAAAAGCTTTTGCTTTTCTGACTGGAGTTCACAAGGGCATTTTGGAAACACAGGGATTAGAGTTGTGTGGTTCAAAATAGACGTTTGGTGACAACAGCAAACTGGGTTTTGTGTATATCTGGCGGATTAGCCCTCTTCTCCAACCACCTCCCTGCATTTAAGAATAACAGAAAAATGCCGGACTCAGGGAAACACTGATCAATCTGAGAGGAGCCGCCTATCACGAGGGCCCAGCACCATGTGACCTGCCCAGCACCACGTGGCCTGCTGCTCATCGCTGCAGGCCTTAGTCAGAGGCAAAGGGTTCCTGATTGGTGGGTTTCCTGCAGCAGCAGGTTTTAGCCTGAACTGTAGCAGGCCTTTGCAACTTCCACGTTTTTTGAGAAGCCTGACAGAGATAGAATGTCCAAGGACGATTCCTTGAGTAAGTCCTACCAAATGGTAAGGGGAGGAGAAAAGATGGGAATTGTCCCACTAGACTGTCCTAATTTTTTTCTTTTAAAAGTTAAGATTTTATGTTACCAATAGAACTGGTCTAGGAATGTTATATTTTGAGCCTTAAATATCAGCGTTTTTAGAGGAAAATGGAATGACTGTAAAAATTACCAAGTAGGTGAGTGGCGTCTGGGGTCTTAAAAGCCAGAGAGCGGCCATCTAAGATGCATCAATTGGTCCCAACCCACCTGGAGTAAAGGAGAATGAAGAACACCAAAGACA